CATGACAAAAAAAAAAAAAAAAAGAACCCTGACTAAAGCAGCTCTCAGAGAGAAAGGGTTTATTCAGATTACAATTTCAGGTTAGAGTTCATTGTTGCAGGGCAGTTAGGTAGAGACTTGAAGCAACCAGGCACATGCAGGGTCAAAGGTGAAGAGAGAATAAGTGTCTGCTTCCTTACTCATGCGGTCCAGGATCCCCTACCTAGGGAATGGTACCACCCACGGTGGGCTGGGGCTCACTACATCAGTTGACACAGTGAAGACAATCTTTGCTCCTCCACAGTATGCCCACAGTCCAGCCTGATCTAGACAACCCCCCACTGAGACTGTCTTCTCAGGTGATTACTGGCTGGAAAAGTTGACATTAAATAGACCTCAATGGTCTTGAAATACTTATTCTTTTCTTTTTGTCCTTTCTATGTATCCCAGGCTGACCTTGAACTTGGAATCTTCCTGACTTGGTTTTCCAACCATTGGGATTACAGGCCTCTGCTATGACATGTGTTAGTGTTAACTGTCAACTTAATAGAGTCTTGAATTGACTGGGAGATGGACTTTGGAGCCTGGGTGTGGGGGATTGTTATGTGATATTTTACTCTTTTGGTTTTCTGAGGGGCCTACTGCCCAGCTCCCAAATAAATACCCAGCCTTAGCTTGGCTTGCTTTTTGCCAGCTTTTACTAACTTATATCATCCCATCTACTGTTTGTTTCTGCGGTTTTATCTCTCTCTATTTCTGTATACCTTTCTTTACGTCTTTCTCCAGGGCTTGCCGTGTAGCTGCATGGCTAGCCCCTGATGTCCTTCTCTCCTTGTCCTATCTTGCTCCTCGATCCCTTCTTCTTCCTCACTTCTCCTTCTATTTATCCTCTCTGCCTGCTCTCCCCGCCTATCCTTGATCCTGCCTCGCTATTGGCCGTTCAGCTCTTTATCAGACCATCAGGTGTTTTAGGCAAAGAATCACAGCTTCACAGGGTTTAACAAATGTAGCGTAAACAAAAGTCACACACCTGAAAATAATATCCCCCAGCGGGGATCGTCTTAATTACATTTAATTGTGGGCAGGACTATTTCCAGGACTTGGCGTCCTGGAAAAAAAAAGCCAAAAAACAAAACAAACAAACAAAATACAGGAAAAGGGAGTTGTAATTTGTCTATCTCTGCTTCTTGACTGTGGGTGATGGAACCCTCAAGCCCTGCTGCCATGGCATCCCACCATGAGCCAAATAAATCTCCCATTTTAGCTGCCTTTGTCTGAGTATTTTATTATAGCCACAGGAAAAGATGCCAAGACACCTCCCTGGCACTAAAATACCAATTTTCACTGAAAATGGAAACAGCATTCCCCAAAATGGACTGATCCAAGTTTAGCAAGAAGTGAACGAGACAGACCCAGACATCTTGTTATGCTAGATGGTAAGGAAGCTGGAGGGATTACACCAGCCCAAAGGTCTCAGGAACTAACCAGTGTAGAAGGCTGAGTGATGCCCATGGCAACAGGACAACAGTACCAGGAGTAGTGGCACATGCCTTTAATCCCGGCACTTAAGAGACAGGCAGGTGGATCTCTGAGTCTGAGGCCTGCCTGGTCTGTAAGAATAAACTTAAATGAATCAAATCTATTTAAATTGTTCATTTATACTTCTGTAAAAAATTTTTAAAAATCTTAATGGCAACTAGAGTTTCAATAAAACAATACAGTTTTGTAAAAAATCAAACAGAAACAAAGAACAACAAACAGTTTATAAGTGAGGGAATGAAGCCCCCCTTTGTCTTTTATTTGGGGATGGAGCCTCACTGTCTCAACCTTTCCAGGGAGGGATTAGGATGTACACTGCAGCCTCTTCCTATGGTGGGATTAGGGGGTACACTGCAGCCTGCTCCTTTGCCTTTTGTTTTCGTCATTTTCAAAGGTTACTTATTACTAATGTGTGTCTGTGTGATGTGTGAGCATGTATGAGCATGAGTGTGAGGTCAAAGGGCAACTCCTTGTCCTTCTTCCCTTGAGTGGATCCCAGAGGTTGAACTCAGGGCATGGGGATCACACAGCCACTGCTAAACCCACTGAGCAATCTCTCCTGCACACATCTCCTGTTTTTCTCAGCAAGTCGTGTCTCACGGGAGTGCTGAGCGACCCACGAAGAAGGAGCATTTGCTCCCACAAATGACTGGAGCACAAACTGCAGCTGTCACAGAAAAGAACCCCCCAGAACCCCACAGAAAAGAGGCCCTGGGACCACGCTTGTGGAGAATTCACAGAGCCAGATCTGCAAAGACTCCACAGTTAGGTCATTTTAAGGAAGTGCTGGGATGCGAAGCAGGAGGGGAACACTGGGGTGTGAGTCAGCAGGCCACACTGTAGGGAGCCCTGCAGGATAAACCATCTGGTTTCCTTAGCAAATGAAGCACAAGGGAAGAAAAAAATTACAGGGAACTGGAGACTAAAATAGGCACAGAGATGCTGTGCTGACTAGAGTGTATCCCTACTTTCTTAAACCTATAAAATGCATATGGTATTGCAGGGGCTGGGGAAGGCTCTGTCATTGCGGATGAGGACATGAACTTGGTCTCCAGAGCATACATAAAGAGTCAGGTGAAAACCCCGCTGTTTTCTCATTGTGTCATAAGAAGATCCCTGGTGAGGGGCACACACCATTGTACAAAATGTGCAATAACGGGTGGATAGATCTTGATTCCAAAACTCACGAAATAACTATATTTTAAAGGGCTAGTAGGCTAAAAATATCTTCTGTCCTCACACTCTTGGGTTGGGATGGATATATCATCAAGCATGTTGCTATTCATTGTATATAAAATTATGTAGCATAATTCTTTAATTGTTAAAGTTAGATGCAGTCATTGGGAGAGAGAGGACCCAGGCATGGTGCTGTACGTTTATAATCCCAGCTATGGGCAGGTGGGGATAGGTTGTAGGCGGAGACTGCTCATTCTTTCCTGACTTTCCTTACCCGGGATAATCACACAGAAACTATATTAATCACAATACTGTTTGGCCAATAGCTTAAGCATATTCCTGGATAACTCTTATATCTTAACCCATTTCTATTAATCTGTGTATTACCACGTGGTTGTAGCCTACCAGTAAGGTTCCGCCCAGCATCCTGGGTCAGTCTCCTGTGGTGTCTACAGGCATCCCCTTGACTCCACCCACTCTCTCCTCCTCTATCTACTTGGAATTCCCGCCTTGCCCTATTCTGTGCTGCAATAGGCCCAAAGCAGCTTCTTTATTAACCAATGGCATTCACAGCATACAGAGGGGAATCCCACATCAATAGGTGAATCCTTGGGGTTCATGGACCAGACAGTGTAGCCCAACTGATGAGTTCCATGCCAAGTGAGAGACTCAAAAGATGAGGTGGAGAGTCTTGGAGGAAAGACATCTTTGACCTACACACACACACACACACACACACACACACAGAGTGATACAGGGCCACTTCCCGCATTAGACCCTGACAAGCTGAGCTGTTTGCTCTGTTGTGGAGTACTGTCTTTTACTCCCCAGGAGTTCCCATCTCCAGATGACACTCCCTGACACATGGTCCATCCCAGAAAGACCCGAGAACAGAGAACTATGCCAGAACTGAAGCCAGGTAATGCACCTGTAGGCTCTCAGCTACTTTCCTCAGGACCTCTGGCATAGCTCAGTTTTCAGGCTGGAATGCCTCCAGATCTCCTGAGCTCTACCTCTGACTCACCAGACACCTTTGTGCCTTGGCACATGCAGGTCTCTGTGCCTGTGGAATCCTTGTCTTCCAGAACTCCAGGAATGCTCGGCCTGTCCCACTGGGTGACCAGAAGTTCAAGATGGGACTGTGTGGACATGTGTGCCCTGGGGACACCCAGCTCTGCAGAGGAGGAAGTTTATTGAAAACAGCTGCCATCTCCGTCAGACAAGCTTTGGCTGCTTGTGGAGCCCATCTTATGAATTGTTGGCATATCTTCATAGAAGGAGGGGGGAGAGGTCAATGGAGGCCACTTCTCTAAGCCACCTGCATGCAATTCTGCCCTAATTGCATGAGACCTTGGAGTCTTGGGGAGGGATTGTAGTGTACTGGTTGAGGAAATTGACTGGGGAGGGGAGTCCACCCATGTGACCACAGGGAAGCCATCATCCATACTATCTGAAGACTTCCACTGCAGCTGCTTTACAATTTACTCATGCTCCTGCGGGTCGCCCTTCCCTTCACCCATGCTCTGTACATAAGCCCAATTAGCTCATTAGCTGGGGAGCACTTGCTGTTCTTGTAGAGGACCCAGGTTCCCAGCACCCACATGGGGGCTCACAAGTGCTCATCACACCAGCTCCTTCTGGCTTTGAAGAGCTCATGAGGAGGGAATGGAGTTTGTTTACATTTCTCTAGGGAAGGGATTCTTTTTTTTAATATTTACTTATTTATTTGTTTATTTATTTATTATGTATACAATATTCTGTCTGTGTGTATGTCTGCAGGCCAGAAGAGGGCACCAGACCTTATTCCAGATGGTTGTGAGCCACCATGTGGTTGCCGGGAATTGAACTCAGGACCTTTGGAAGAGCAGGCAATGCTCTTAACCACTGAGCCATCTCTCCAGCCCTAGGGAAGGGATTCTTAAAGCGCACTCAGAGTTTGCCCATTTCCCCATCCCCTGCTGACTGAGGTAATAGTCACAGTTAACCCTTGCTGAGGGCTTCTGTGCATCTGGGCCCTTGATTGTAGCAAACCCCATGACGCCCCCGATAAACTTGCTTATCACCAATGGTCCTATCTTACAGACGCACAGAAGCACAGCGAGCACAGCGAGAGAGGTTACAGGCCTGAGCGGACACACAGCAAACAAAAAGTCTGCCTCTAGCTTATGTCCCTAGCTGCTGCCTTACCCAATGAGGTCGTAGGCAGGAGCTGGTGACATGCCAACCTCACAAGAAGTGGCTGTCTTCCAGGAGAGGCTGGTACCAGTGGATGAGGGACACTGTGGCCACAGTGTGAGGATAAGAGCTCCCAGGTGAGGTTCTGCACGGAGATGGAAGAATCTAAAAGCCCGACTGACGACAGCCATGCAGGGCCAGCCTGGTCAGCACCGCAGGAAGTATCTGCCCTTCAGCCAGACTGCGGAGGCCTCTTTCCTTCCTCCCTCATGTCCTCTCCCTCCTTGAATTATAGCGCCCACCCTCGTCCTGACCATTGCTCAATCCAGGATCACAGTTCCTGTGACTGCGCCTGACTGGCTTGGTCCTCTCTTTTCTGCACTTCAAGGGAAAGACGAGATCTTGCACAAGGGACTCCGGAGCCACATCTGTTCTCTTCGGCTGGCCGAGGAAGGGAGCCATGGGGCCTCTCCACCTGTTTCTCCTGCTGCTGATCACAGGTGGGACCTGCCCTCTACAATGTTTCCTTGAGCAGATGGCTGGGTGGGGGTGGGGGTGTTTCGGAGGGGTACTTTGAAGGAGGCTGAAGTCCTGGCATGCTCAAGTATCCTGCTTGGCCCTGCTTTCCTCCCCACTGGTCCATGTTCTTCACACCATCCTTCCCAGGATCAACCCCCACGTGTAGGGAAGGCTAAGGCTCAGCTGTACTTGGTCACTCCAGGAACTGTGAGGGCGGCACTAGCTGTCGGATGGGGGCCTGTGGAAGCGCTGCTAAGAGCCCTTAAACATTCAAGGAGCACTGAAGCATAAATGGAGTGGCGGAATGGGAGAGAAGGCTAAAGGAGGAGAGACTTGGGTTGGGATTTGCATCCTCCTCAGCCCTTCCCACATCTGACCTCAGCCCTCAGTGGGAGCTGAGGATGCTGAAGGCTCTACCACTGAGTCCTCAAGTGTGACAGACTGCCTCCTCCCACTGTGGGCTGGGTACCTCCTGCAGCCCAAGAGTAGTGGACAAACCCAGGTGAGAGAAGAGGTTGAAGCATCTGGAAGTAGAGGGAGATGTAAGGCGCCTTAGCCTGTCTGGAGGCAGCTGGGTGGAGGGGCAGATGTGTGGCGAGAACACACACATGAGGTCTCTACTCCAAAAGGCGGCTGCCAGATCTTTGACCCCACCTTCTGTATTTCCATCTCAGTAGTAGCTGGAGACAAGATGCAAGAGACAGAAAGTTTAGATAAACCCTTGTCCCCCTCCTCTGGCCTCAACTTGGCGGGTGTTCCAATGCCACCAACCCTACCCCAAGATGATCCCCAAAATAGCAGACACATGTCTCCCCCAAAATAGCTTTGAGACAAGTCCTCCAAAAAGAGGAACAGAGCCACAGAAACAGGGAAGCTGGGAGTTAAAGGTCAGGAAAGGAGACTCATCCAGTATGGACGACTGGAGAGAGGACATGATGCAGGGACAGGGAGAAGGGGATCCCAGACCTTTGGGAAACCACCCTTTGATCCATTAACTTTGCTCTCCTGAGATGAAGAAAGGAAAAGAGATAATCTGGTCCCATACGACAGGAGGGAAGATGTCTAAAATAGAGCGAGAAGGTTTTAAGAGCAAGGCATGGCTTAGTCAACACAGTACTTGCCTTGCAAGCATGAAGACCTGCATTTGTACCCACAGAACCCATGAGAACAGCCTGGTGCGGTGGCATGTGCCTGCCTCTCAGGGATGGAGGCATGGGGGACAGAGACAGGCAGATCCCTAGAAGCACACAGGTCAGCTTGGTCTGTGTGGTGGAGTTCCTTACTGTAGGAGTTACAGCTTGTTGCTGTGACAAAATATCTCAGAAAAGCAACTCAGTGAAAGGAGGGTTGGTTTTGCTCGCTGTGCAGGGGTATGCATTCCATCCTGGCGGGGAAGGCATGGCAGCAGGAGGTGGCTGTTACATTGTATACTTAGTCAAGAAGCTGAGAGAAGAGTGCAGCTGCTGGGCTCTCTTCTTGATTTTGATGTAGCGGGGGACTTCCGCCCATGGAATGTGGGTGCCTCACACCAATGAACTGAATCCAGATACTCTTCCATCGATATTCCCATAGGCTAACTTGATCTAGAAAATCTCTCACATGCAAGCTCAGAAGTTTGCCGCCTTGATAATTCTAGAACCTGTCACTTTGACCATAAACATTAGCTTTTCTTGTATACTGGTAAGATATTCTGTTTCAAACAAAGAGTGGACAGAGATTATTCTGATGATCATGCGTCCACCGTGTTTCCTGCATCCCTGGAGCTACCCCAAAGGTGTCTGGGAAGCTTGTAAGAAAAGCAGACCCTAGACCCCAGGTGTGCCACCTTCTGCTTAGACACCCTAAGCTCTTTAAGGATCCTGCCTGCAGAGGCTGCTCCTGGCAGATAGATGCTCAGTGAATGCTTGAGTGGATGAAGTGACAAGTGACAGTCTCCTCTGCAGAGTTGTCCCGAGCCCTCAACACAACGGTGCTGCAGGGCGTGGCTGGCCAGTCCCTGCGGGTGTCATGCACTTACGACTCCTTGAAGCACTGGGGGAGACGCAAGGCTTGGTGTCGCCAGCTGACTGAGGAGGGCCCATGCGAGCGTGTGGTGAGCACACACGGTGTGTGGTTGTTGGCCTTCCTGAGGAAACGGAATGGGAGCACGGTCATCACGGATGACACCCTGGCTGGAACCCTCACTGTCACTCTGCGAAACCTCCAAGCCAGTGATGCGGGTCTCTACCAGTGTCAGAGTCTCCGAGGTCGGGAGACTGATGTTCTCCAGAAGGTTCTGGTGGAGGTGCTGGCAGGTGAGTACAGCAGCTGGTCGCACCTTTGCTTGATCCTTGGGACAGACCTCATTTTTGTGTGACTGTTCCTGGGAGACATAAGCAAATTCTGTCCCAGATTAGCCAATAGCAACGGATTCAAGAAAAGGTTCCACCCAGGTCAAGCTCAGTGAACTAGTGAGTTTACTGGGGCTACTTGTAAGTGCATGGAGGAGGGTTTATCTATGGGCAGCTCTAAAGCAGCTGCGTCACCAAAAGCCCATCCCAGCATCTCTGGAGCTCCCTAGATCCCTGAGCTCCTGTATCCCTGGAGCTCCTGCATCCCTGGAGCTCCTGCATCCCTGGAGTTTCCTGCATCCCTGGAGCTCCTGCATCCCTGGAGTTCCTGCATCCCTGGAGCTCCCTGCATCCCTGGAGTTCCTGCATCCCTGGAGTTCCTGCATCCCTGGAGCTACCTAAATCCCCAGAGCTCCCTGCATCTCTGGAGCTCCCTGAACAACTTGTATGGAGCTGGTCCTAGTTTGAGTCTCTCCTCCCCAATAGCTGTAATGGCTTGGGGTGTGTGTATAAATCTCGTAAAGGTTCATGAGGTTCCTGAGCCTTGTAGTTTTCTTTACTTCCTGAGTTATATGGTGCTCCCCAACAGACAGTGCCCTAAAGGAGCAGTGATCTCATGGCTTGTCTCTCACAGACCCTCTAGATGACCAAGATGCTGGAGATCGCTGGGTCTCTGAGGAATCAGAGAGTTTTGAGGGTGCTCAAGTGGAACACAGCACCTCCAGGTACAGTGGTGGTCCCCCCTCGGACTCCTGGCGGTGTCTGGGGATGGAGGTCCCAGGACAACAGATCAGGCAAACCCCAGGTGTAGTCTTGTGTAAGTTCCCTCCCACCTGCTAGTGCATTGACGCTACTGGGCTTAGATAGTAAGAAACCGGAGGCCTTCGTGACAGTTTCCAGAATTCTGAAAGAGCAGCCCCCCCCCCCCAGGCTCCTGCTCTCAGCAAGAAGTCTCAGGACTTCAGCTTAAAACCATGAGCCCTGGGACTCTGCTTCTTCAGAAGAACCAGAACACATCCTAGCTGCTTCATGTACTAATATAGAAATGATACAAACACTGAGCACATGTGCAGGTGCATCCTTCCCTATGAACTAATACAGAAATGGGTTCTACAACTGCATGTGTTCTGCATGTGTACAGCTGCATACCTGCACACCGCATGCACCATAGCATACCATAAAAAACAGCTCAGCAAAGAAATGAGATGTGTTTTGTGCACTCAGCAGGTGATTCCTCTGCGCTCCATAAAGTCCCATCCCAGAGATAGTGTCGCCAAGCCCCTAGGAATCTCTGGTTCCTCTATTCCCTCTCTAAGGGCAGGTTTCACCCAGTAGGTCACCTGTAGTCTTCCTTCTCTTTCTAAGGAGCCAATCAGGAGAGACCTCCTTCCTACCCACTTCCATTCTCCTCCTTCTGGTCTGTGTCCTCTTCAGCAAGCTTCTTACAGCCAGCATCCTCTGGGCTGTGGCCAGGGGCAGGCAGAAGCTGGAGTCACCTGTGGCCAGTGGGCTGGACTGCAGCCGTGAAGCTGGGCACCAGCTTCAGATCTTGACTGGTGAGTGGGGCAAGCTGGGGGCTGTTAGGCCCGGACAGGGCAGGGATGGAAGGGACTGAGCTGTGTCTATTGCAGGACCCAGAGATCCTGAGAGAAGCCCCCCTGAAGTCCACCCATGAGCCATCCAGTTTGGGTACTCTCCCCCCTGGAACCAAGACTTCTGCTTCTTCTAGTTTGGCTTCAGAGGCTACTTCTACCTAAACCCGTCTCTCCTAGAAGCAGGAACAATCATGCCAAAGCCCACCTCTCCCAGAAGCAGGAGTACTCACGTGTTTGTGTGCTAGAAGGTTACCTGTCAGCTGCTGGGCTATGGGCATTAAACTCTCAACCCAGGACTATCCACTCTTTCTAGATGGTTCTTCGCCTCATAAAAGTCTTCTGTGGGACTAAACTCATGAACTTACCACAGAATTTATGCATTTGGATGAGAAAAAAGGAAAAAAGGTACCTTACTTGAGGCCTGGGGTCCAAAGATAACTGAGTTTCATTTTTGGTGCTGTGGTAAAATGCTGACCAAAAGCAATTTAGGGGAGAAAGGATTGATTTTAGCTCACAATTCCAGATTACAGCTCATCCCAGAAGGGAAGTGAAGGCAGCAGCAACTTCAAACACCTTGTCACAGCACATCCGGTCACCAGCAGGGAGGGAATGGACGCAGACAATACCTGTGCTCAGCTCCTCTCTGTGCCGTTACCACTAACACAGCCCAGGAGCCCCTTTCTGCTGAGGGAATGGTGCTACCCTCAGTGGGCTGGGCCTTTCCACATCTGCCAACATGTAATCTTTCCGCCCCCTCAGACATGCCTGTGTGCCAGCTTCGTCTAGACAACCTCTCTTTGAGGCTTTCTCTGATAACTCTAAATTGTGTCGGGATGAGAGTTAAAACCAACCACCACAGTACCATGTCTTCCATCCCACAGGCTCCAGCCAGGTCGATCTTCTCATCCTCATTTCCCTTCCCTAAATTTGATCACCAAGTCCTTCTGTGGGAGAGCTGCTCATCTTCCTACTCCTCCCCTCTGGCATTCTCTCCATCAGCTCCTACAGTTGCCCCACCCCCAGCCCCAGGCTCCTTCCTCTCCACTCCCACTTCTGCCATTCAGGTCCGGCCAACCCTCTGACTCATCCTCTCACCTCCCAGAGCTGTGCTTGCCTCTGCAGCTTCCCCTCTGGAGGAATGGCAAAGACTGAGCCACAGTAGCTGAGCTGGACACAGTCCACGCCCCTGGATGTACTGAGAGGGAATGGAGGCTCAGGGAAGGAGGGGACACATTCACAGTCTCTAGCAGAGCCTGGAAATCCAAGTTTCCCTCCACATTCTCGGCACCCTTCCCTCTAGCTCTGTCCTGCTAGCACATTTATGGACAAGTGCATTGCAACATGTTTTGAGCATGATCCAAGCCTCGGGGACACAGTGCAATTCTGCACTAGAGTTCTTGTTCTAGGGAGAGGAGCTGGTGGGGTGGCAATGTACACTGTAAAGGGGTTTATGTTCAAAAGCAAAAACTTTTGACGAAAAGTTAAAAATAAAGCCAAATACAGAGGAGATGGAATGTGCCATTTTGAGCAGGACAGTCAAAGGGGACACCTGAAGGAAATTAGGAACTATGAGGGCATTGTGGGCAGGAAGAATTTGAGGCAAAGGTAACAGACAGGACAGTGTCCGTCTCTTCATTTCTGTTGCTGTGATGAAACATCTTGACCAAAGGTAACATAGGGAGGAAAGGGCTTGTTCAGCTCACTATTCCAAGTCATAGTCCATCAGTTTGGGGAAGTTGAGGCAAACTCAAGCAACTGGTCACATTACATTTTTAGCTAAAAGCAGAGAGAAACAAATGCATCCACCTGCCTGTTTGCTCAGTTAGCTTTCCTCCCCTGTTCAGTTCCAGGCCCAGTGCAGGGAACAATGCTGTCTGAATTCAGGCTGAGTCTTCCACCTCTGCTAACAGTCAAGACAACCCCCCTGACATACCCCAGACAGACATGCCCACAGACATCCATACAGACATGCCCAAAATAGGCCCACAGGATGCCCCACAGACATCCACACAGACATACCTGCAGACATACCCACAGACATACCCGCAGACATACCCACAGACATGCCCACAGACATACCCACAGATATACCCACAGACATGCCCACAGACATGTCCACAGACATACCTGCAGACATACCCACAGACATGCCCACAGACATACCCGCAGACATACCCACAGATGTGCCCAAGACAGACATGCCCACGGATATCCCCACACACATGCCCACAGCCCAACTTCATGTAGACGCAAACACACACCTAACACCCTGGCCAAGATTAAAGAAGAGTGTACAGAACTCTCTGAGGGACCCAGATGAGGAGGGATTAAACCAGCCACACCCAAGCTTTCTATTGGTCGTGAGAAGTGGACACCCGGGAATCCATGTGGCCATAGTGACGTGCGCATGCTTTACCGTCTAAATGAGTTTGGAATTATGGGAAACATCTGCCATGTTATGTGTTCTCCAGCCTCACTCCACACAGCCCTCCCTGGGGTTCCAACTCTGCCTTGCACATTCCCACTTAGACCACAGACCCTGACCTGGAGCTCTGAGATGCTGGCTCAGCCTGCTGGGTTTCTCCAACTGCCTCATTGTATCCTGTCTATTACATCATCCCCACAGATCCAGCCCACAGTCAAGTCATACCCTTCTCAACTGCCTGTCCTGAGCCCCAGGCTGTGGAGTGGGTCTTAGAGGCTCCCTGGGACATACCTGACACGCAGAACGGTGGCCGCTCTCCTCTTGGAGTTTGCTCATCCATGTCCGAGATGCCCACCTCAGTGTTCAAGTGACCATGGAGATGCCCAGCCTTGGACTAAGGATCACCATGGACTGAGAAGTAGATAGATCCTGGACCTTAGTCTCATCTCTACTTCCCGACAGCTTGTAGTAAGAGGTTCCTCAACCCACGACAGGCTGGCTGATTGTAAAAATAGATCAGCCAAGCAATTAGTCAACCAATGCCCTCCTGGTCAATTTCACAGGGGTTTAAATGATTTTTAGGGGTTGGAGAGATAGTCTTCATTACAGTGCCTCTGTCACTGTGAAGAGACACCATGACCAAGGCAGCTTATAAAAGGAGGCATTTGATTGGGGCTGGTTTTCAAGTTTCAGAGGCTGTGTCCATGAGCACCTTGGTGCTGGACATGAGCATGGTGCTGGAGCGGTGGCTGAGACCTTAATCTGAGGTCTGATCCACAAGCAAAGGGCAGACAGAGAGAGAGAGAGAGGGGTGGGGCTGGCATGAGCTTTGCTACCTCAAAGCTCACCCCCAGCTGTAGTGATATTTCATTTGTATTTTAATAAATAAAGCCTGCCTGAAGATCAGAGAGTAAAACAGCCCTGCTGGCCAATGGTGACACACACTTTTCATCCCAGTAGCCACACTAGTTTGCCATAGACGCCTTGCGGTAGTGGTGTATGCCTTTAAACCCAGAACTAGAGAGGAATGTAAGACCAGAAGAGACAGGTCTCCACTCAGTTTCATTCTGAGGTTGCCGTTTTGGCCTGAGGTAGAGGTAAGAACCAATGGCTGGTTGCTTTGCTTTTCTGATCTTCAGGCTGGACCCCAATATCTGTCTCTGGGTTTTTACTATTCCTGCTGCACCCAGTGACACACATTCTCCAACAAAGCTACACGAGAATGGCCCACATAGGCACATCTATTTGAGTGCTTAGTCATCAGCAAGTGAACTGTTTAGGGGGTGTGGCCTTTAGAAGAGGTGTGGCCTTGTTAGAGTACCTGTGACCTTATGGGAGATGGTGTTACTGACTGAGGATGGGCTCTGGGATTCCACACACCAGACTAAGAGGGAGTCTCTCTCTCTCTCTCTCTCTCTCTCTCTCTCTCTCTCTCTCTCTCGCGCGCGCGCGCGGTCAGGCTGCTGCCTGCTGATCAGGATGTAAAGCTCTCAGCTACTGCGCCAGCGCCATGCCTATCTGTTTCCTGCCATGATGATAATGAATTAACACTCTGAACTGTAAGCAAGCCCCAAGCCCCAGTCAAATGCTCACATCCATAAGAGTTGCCTTGGTCCTGGTGTCTCTTCACAGCAATAGAAGTGACTAAGACAGCTTGCTAAACAGTCCATCAACTGGGAAGCAAACATTCAAATATATGAGCCCATCTTAATTAGGGTTTCTATTGCTAGAAAGAGACCCCATGACCACGGCGACTTTTATCAAGGTAATTGTTTGATTATGGTGGCTCACTTACAGTTTCAGAGGTTTAGTTCATTATCATCATGGCAGGAAGCACGGCAGCGTGCAGGCAGACATGGTGCTGGAGGAGTAGGTGAGAGTCCTACATTTTGTAGGCATAGGAAGTCAACTGAGAGACTGGGCAGTATCTTGAGCATAGGAAACCTCAAAGTCCACACCCAAGGTGACACATTTCCTCTAAGAAGGCCGTGCCCACTCCAACAAAGTCACACCTCCTAATAGTGCCATTCATTCCCTATGAGGTTACAGGGGCGATTATATTCAAATTACCACAGAGCCTAGTGTGGTCATTTTCATTCAAACCACTACAGAAGGCTCAGTGGTTAAGAGCACTTGGTGTTCCTATAGAGATGGGAGTTTAGTTCTCAGTGGCTGTTTACAGAGGCTGTAACTCCAGCTCCAGAGGATCTGACTTCCTCTCCTGACCTCCTCAGGCACCTCTCTATGAACATCTGCAAGCATGCTCGCACGCGTGCATGCGCACACACACACGCGCACGCACACACATACACACACACACACACATGCACACACGCACACACGCACGCACACACTCACGCACACACACGCACACACACGCACACACACGCACACACGCACACACGCACGCACGCACACACGCACACATACACGCACGCACACACATACACACACGCACGCACACGCATACACATATGCACGCGCACACACACACGCGCGCGCACACACACGCACACACATACACACACGCACACACACGCACGCACATACACACACGCACACACGCACGCACGCACACACACACGCACACACACGCGCACACACGCACACACACGCACACACAGACGCATGCACACACGCACACGCACACACACGCACGCACATACACACACGCACACACGCACGCACGCACACACACACGCACACACACGCGCACACACACACACACACGCACGCACACACACGCGCACACACGCACACACACGCACACACAGACGCATGCACACACGCACACACTCCAATGTGCACATGTCGCACACGTCTGAGCACAGCTCTGTTTGTCAGCAAGCAGCTTCGTCCGCTGAGTCATTCTGTGTCGTCACTGGGTTTTTGTGAAGTAAAAAGACATAACATTTGCGGAACTCCCTGACTAGGTGTCCAGTACATTGTAAGTCCTCGACAAACACTGACTTTCTCACTGTAAAACCCAGCAGCATCATGCTTCCCTGGAGGCCAGGGTCCCTCCAGGCCCCACTGGTCCAGCAGTGAACCATACTGATATGAAGATCTTGGTTTAATGTCTGACACAGTCCCATGACACACAACACCTCTGTGACTATTTGTGGAAGAAGTCCAAGGCTGGCCTGCGGTGTCAAGACAGGAGAGAGCCCAGGTTTGTTCAGGGTCTTGTATCCCAGGAAGCCCTCAGTTCCTGTGGTCACCCCATCACCCCTTCTACTAGTCTCGGTTTAAATGTATTGAGCTCTCAGGTACTTAGGACATCGATAAACTGTGCCTGGGAGGAAAGAAACGAAGAGGAAGAAGGGAGGGCAGGCACTTTGCTCAGCTGCTGAGGTTGGAGCCTGGTTCCCACAGTAAGTCAATTAAAGACAAATACGGGGAGGAGGAGCAGAGAAAGGAAACGTGCCCAGTGTGGCCACACTAGGAACAGCAACTACATCAGTGACCTCCAAGACCATCTTCATTTTTTCCCTCCATTTTTCTTGTGTAGACATGAAATGTATGTTTGTGTGTATGTGTGTGTGTGCGTGCGTGCATGTGTGAGTATGCATATGTGGATGCACATTTGTACATATGGATGCCCAAGGTTGTTGTCAGTAATCATCCTTGCTGGTTGTGGTGGCTTATACCTTTAATACCAGCACTAGCGAGGCAGAGGCAGGAGGTTCAAGGTTCTCTATGTTCAAGTTGGTCAGAGTTCCTAGTCAGCCAGAGCTACAAAGTGAGACTAACTCAAAAGAAGAAAGAAATCACCAAGGCAGGATCGCTACCAAAGCTGGTGGCATGGCTCGTCTCTCAAGCCAGCTTGCTCTGGGAACCCATCTCTGTTTTGGGGGGAGGGAACTACAGGTGGACTGCTACGCCTGGAATAGTATTGAGACAGGTTCTCAGATCCAAACTCCTATCTGCATGCTTAGGCAGCAAGGG